ATCCAATGGTCCAAATATTAGGGTGCAGACCCACTGAAGCTGACATTTTCACTCACATCAGCAGTTAATTTTGCATATACTCTTTACCCACTGGGTACACATCTTTAGGTTTGAACATTAGGTTTGGGGGCAGGGGACAATGGAGACTTGGCAACTACAGGGGGTATGGATGATCACCACTGGGCAGAGGCCTTTGGATTTTACGGTTGGAGAAGGGGCTCTCCAGAAGGCCTTACCTCAATGCCTGCGCACATCTGCACACCTTTAAGTTTGGCGACCGGGGGGGACTGGGGACATGGGACTAGGGACTTGGGCACTCAGTAAATCTTTGCACCAGGCTTGAGCACTTCATCTTCCACGAAAGCGAATCCGAGTAAAAAATGTAAGCGAAGGCCTGACCGGTACAGTCACATTCTTGTTTATGCATATCTTTGCAAATGTCTCTAAATGCATATGCGTATGCATATGCATTTACATAGACATATACCTATACATTCCTGTACATATACATATAGGTCTACATTTACATGTACATGTACATATGCATTCACATTACATGTAAATATACATACACATATATACATACACATAGAATTACATATACATACTCGTCATATACATGTACATGTACATGTACATGTACATAGAATACACATCCGAATGCCTATACCATCCTATACCTATACATGTACATCTACGTATACCTATAAATATACATGTACATCTACGTATACCTATAAAAATACAGCTATATCACATATCATATCTTGTAAATATGTCTCTCTATATATGTGTGTGTGTGTATGCGAATATATTTGTATTCTACATAATTATATGTACAATATATCTCTCTCTCTCTCTCTCTCCCCCTTGAAATTCACCCCAGGGGGTCGGGGCCCATATCTTGTAGCTGTAAACCTCGGGGATTGGAAAACATTGCAACATGAATGGGAGCAAGTAGTTTTTTTCTCCAGCAGCCCAACATTTTGTAGGGAGGTATATTTTGCCCAGATTTCTGGTTTCCATCCTATTCTGAATATGAGCCTTGCTTGCATGCTTGAACCCTGATCACCAAAAAAGGAATTGTCTTTAAGGGGGCAACCCATCCTTTTTGCAAGGAAATTGGCTCACTGATATTTGCTGCCTTTCTTCTTACAATGTTGACTTGAAGCGCTCATACCCTCCCCATTTTGCCCAAGAGTTGTGTTGGAAAACCAGATTGATTCGGACAAGTGGCATGGCGTTGCATTTTGAGATCTTAATAGTTGCAACTCTGCCCTTCAAGCACTACAGGAGGTTTGCTCACAACAGCCAAAATCCCTGCGAAGCACGAATTTCCTACAAAATGACTCCTTAAATCAACAAAGTGATTCCTTACAAAATCAATGGCCCCAACCCAACCAAGCTTTCAAACTGCATTTTTAGATTGCTATATGATAGTGGTTTTATGCCTAAATCATGCACTTTATTGCTCTTACAATATGGCAAGGTGCAGGCAACTCCCTACAAAATCTCTTAAATGGACCTTGAAGCCTTCCAAATTTAGTACATGCTACAAAATGGCTGGCCTAGGGAAAGTGATTTCCTACAATGACAAGTGACCCTAAAAGGCGGTCTTACATGGGCCTTGAGGCCAACCATTCAATAAGGGAAATTTCAATGGGGATATATGCATGCATATATATATATATAGTATATATAATTGTATATATATATAGTATATATATATATAGTATATATATATATAGTATATATATATATATATTCATTGTTGATTGCGAAATCTTGCAAGGCAAGGCCCTGGGGAAAAGCATGGAAAAGCACAAGGCCGGTCTTGGGAACATCCCCATCTTCCGCATGCAATCTGGGCCACAGGCCGGCCAGGTGGCCATACCCATCTCAGGCCTCAAAAAATGGGGATCTGATGATGGGATTTGAAAAACACGTCAGAAATTCAGAATAAGACTAGTTAGGAGTCTGTGTAGCTGTACATCAGGTCCAAGTTCAAACCGTATGTAATCGAGGGTAGTTTAGTTATTAGAGGAGAGTAAACGGTAAGAGTTATCGAAGGTAAGAGTGTAGAAGTGATGATAAACGCTTAGCCGACCCATAGGGTGACCATTGAAAAGCAGAGGTGAGAAGAGTCAGAAGAGAAAGATCAGACGGAAAAGAAGATGCAGTGGTGCAGCGAAAAGGTACTCTTGTCAGGGATTCTAGTTCGGAAGATGGAGTCCGACGAGGAGGAAAGGGTTCGTCGAAGGATGGATAGCGCAGGAACGTCGTGAAAAAACTGAATAGTCGCGAATGACACTGTGTTTTCCCAATTATTGGGGATCCGGAATTAGGGTCGAAAAATAGGATCGACTAAAGCGGCGGTGGGTGCGGAAGCCAGATGGCCAGATGGAGAGCTGAAAAAATTGCTGAACGCCGTTTTGTGGCGCGAAGCACATGCGAAGTCAAAAGCACAAAAAACACCAGGTTTTTCGGACCCTTTTGGAAGGTTGAGATGTCGAAAAAGTGCACGCCCATTGTCGGTGGCGCGTAAGCACATTTCCAAGTCCAAAATGTAACCAAAAACCCCATGTTCGGACACTTTTGAAGTTTTGAGATGTCGAAAAAGTCACGCAGTTGTGGACGCGAAGCACACTTGAAGTTCTCAAAATGTTTTTTAAAGCAACAGGGGGTTTCGAGACAGCTTTGGAGGTCGATGTCGAAAAAGTGCACGCAGTTGTGGCGCGAAGCACATTTCGAAGTCAAAATGTACAAAACACACCATGCTTGGACCACTTTTGGAAGTTGCGATGTCGAAAAAGTGCACGCGGTTGTGGCGCGAAGCACATTTCCAAGTCAAAATGTACAAAGCATCACATGTTCGCGCCACTTTTGGAGGTTCGGATGTTGAAAAAGTGCACGCCATTGTGGCGCGAAGCACATTTCGAAGGGAAAATGTACAAAACACACCATGTTCGGACCACTTTTGGAGGTTCAGATGTCGCTTCGCTTCGCTTCACTACAATACACTACATTACACTACACTACACTTCACTACACTAACATTAACTTTCACTACACTACACTCCACTCCACTACACTACAACTACAACTACACAACTACACTCCACTACACTCCACTACGCTCCACTACACTAAATTACACTACACTACATTACGCTACACTACACTCCACTACACTACATTACACTCCACTACACCCCACAACAATACAACTACAACTACACAACTACACTCCACTACACTAAATGACACTACACTACATTACACTACACTACACTCCACTACACTACACTACATTACACTACACTACACTACCTTCCGCTACACTTCACTACATTACACTACACTACACGCCAGACACTACAAATACAACTACAAAAATACAGCTCCACTACACTCCACTACACTAAAAGTACACTACACTAACATGACACTGACACGAAACTCCACTACAGACAACTACAACGACAACTGCAGTCCCTACCACTCCACTACACTTATAGCCTACCTGCGACTACACAACACCTCAATACCCCCAAGGGGAAATACACTACATCTACACTACAACAGTTCCCACTTACACTCCACTACTACATTACACTGAAGACACTGCACCAAGATAGACAAGTAGAAGATAGACAGATCAGATAGATAGACAGATAGACAGGTAGACGCTTAGACAGGCGAGACAGGAAGACAGATGGAAAGAGGAGAGAGAGAGAACGAGAGATAGATAGAGAGATGAGAAGATACTTAGAGAAGATACCAATGTACTTAGATAGATACTTAGATAGAGAGCTAGCTAGATAGTTTAGATAGATGGTAGATAGATAGTAGGTAGTAGATAGAAGATAGACAAATAGATAGATAGAAACATGACAGATAATAGTAGATAGACAGACAGATAGATAGATAGATAGGTAATTAGCTGCAAAGAGAGAGAGAGGAGAGAGATTAGATGTAGATCGATAGTAGATAGATACCTAGAAGATAGATAGGTAGTAGGTAGATAGTCAGAGAAAGAGAGAGAAAGAGAGGAGACCTCAAGCACCTTTCAGTCCATCAGTGGCTTCGCTCTGCCATCCCTGATTCACAACAACCAACCTCTCCTATAGGTTTCCTATTTTGAAACTTCCGCCACCGCCTTGTGCGGTACTACGGGTAGTTGATTATACTGGTATCTGTTAGACTATTGGGTTCGATTGCAGTAAATAAATGTATATCATTTGTATTGCAGGACACCCCGAGGAAATATTTGGATATGATATATATATATATGTATATATGATATACATATATATATATACATATACATATACATATACATATACATATATAACATATATAACATATATAACATATATTCGGGTGATTGCTATGCACTGGCTTTGTTGTTGACAGTTCCCATTACCTTGATTTCAGTGTCGGATTAGAGGCACTATTCTGGTGTGACTCATGAACGCAAAGCCCACCATATCAACACGTTCTTGCTCCACAGAGCCTGCGATGGATTTGAAACAAGACTCAATAAAACATTCTATAGTTCTAAAACATTCCAATCATTCCATGACCCAGGGGCTTTGAAATAAACTTAAAGAGTTCAATCTGGTCAGGTCATTCTGGCTGTCTGACCCAAGTGCGTGTGGATTATACCCGATGGATTAGATTTCCAATGGGATCTGGAAGATGATTGTCTTGGGTATGATCATATGATGTGTGACATTGTGTGACTAACATTGACGAACTATATAGCGATTGTGGCAGCCCCTACATGCCCCTACAAAAACGCCACCAGCGCACCACACGAGCAATTTCAACACCCTGGGATCCCTGCGATGACCAGGGCGCAGCACCTGCACCTAAGAGGCAGATCGGGTGCTTCAATCAGGATCTAGGAATCAAAATGCGCAAAGCAAAGGAATTGCAAAATGCGCACGAAACATCCGAAAACATCCGGAAACCTGAGTTGTATACATGTTATGTTCTTTTTCCACTTGCTTTCCGAGCGTTTGACCCAACTTTGGGGCCTTGCCGAGATTAGAATTTCGGATTTGTTCGGGTGAGATTGAAATTGTCATGTCAAATGCCAAATCAAAATTTAAAATGATTGTTCCGGTCAAGTTCGGTCAAATCCATGAATTGTGGTAACGGAGTGGTAGCCGCCATGTGGCTCAGTGGCTTCTCAATGGCTTTGCTGACCTCTCAATGTGTTATCAATGGACTTCAGAACTTCCGGGTCGTCTGCATTGTTCAGGTTCACGTCGAAGCTGCTGTCAAGCTTCACCATCAATGGCAGCCAAGCCTTCAACATATCCACCTCCACTGTCAATTCCTCGACCGTGGGTTCATCCAACATTTTGAAGGTTTTCGTTCTGACTTTATAGAGATGACCATTCACATCCACCAGCTTCCCATCGCTGTCGATACCTGTCTCTCGCATGTAGTTCTCCATGGCATTTTGAGTGCCCAAGCGCTCAAAGTCAGAGTCCCCAATGGAGATAACGTTCTTCCAACTCTGGCCCTCATACTGCGAATAAAACTTGTTACACTCTCGTTCTATGGCCTTTCCTTTCACGGAGCTCCAGAAACGTTCAATCTCTTCATCTGAAGACATGTTCTGCTTGTTGTAGTCCACTTGGATACCCTCTTGCGCATAAATGATCGGGACCTTGAGTTGAGTGATCAAACGACCCACTGAAGCATAGAAGTTCTTGCACGATTCAGACACCCAGGGTGCTCGAGCTAAGGTCAACAGCACAACTTTGCCAAAGCGGTCTGCTTGCTTCAAAAGCTCAACTGCATGGGACGCGCAAAGCTCAAGCCTTTTGCCAATCGCATTTTTTTCAGTGGAACTGAGGTCTTGATCTTTCAATGGTTTGTTCCAAACAAGTTTCAAATCATCACGCACGTAAGTTGTGGGAAATAGGGTGTCGTCCCAATCAAAAATGAGGAGGGTCTGGCTCTTGCTTGAAAAAAAAAGCTGCGAATTACGCCTCCCCAGGGTGGAATTGGCCGCACCAGTGCTGATGATCAAGTCACTTTTCATGTGACCAAAGCGGTAGTGCTTGTGTGCCTGTCCTCCTTCCCAAAGAACTTGTGCAATGGCTTTCGCCTTGTCGAAGGACAAAATGACGCCAGTTCTGCCTTCACCACCGTCTTCATCACCCCAATTCCAGTCAGGTCCACGTGTCACACGCAGATTTACAGCAATGTTTTCTGCAGTTACTTCCAAGGCATCGCACGCACGGTCCCGGTGATCACCTTCACCTTCACCATCACCTTCTGGAAGAGTTTGCAAATAATCTTCCATTGCTGCCGTCTTTCGACGTTGTAAGGCATTTCCTGAATCTCTGGTCTTCTGCCGCTTGAAAGGCATCAATTCCTTTATTTCTGTGGTGGCCCCACTGTCGGCTTCAGTCTCAAGTTGAGTGCCTCCAGTTGCTCCGGTTCCTCCACCGCCATCAATTTTTGGTGACTTTGGAGCCTCAGCGAGCTCTGGAGCAGCAGGTGCGACAGCAGTAGTAGCGGCAATCCCAATGTTTGCGCTCGGGCGCTTCATCTTTGCATCTTCTTTTCGTTCACCTGGTGAGACCGGCCGCGAAATCTTCTCCGGCCGCTTGATGTTGGCACATCATATGCAACACTGAAGTGCCATGCGGTTGATGGCTTGAGATCGGAGACACTGGGGATGAATCAATATGGTCTCAATACTTCTGCACAATACAATGTATATAAACTGTATATACATATGTGTGCGTGTAATGTGGTATAGGCAAGTTCGCCACTGCATCTTGTTGAACGCTGCTCCACAAAAAAGTTGTCCGGAAAGGAATAAGAATAGTAAGAATTTCTGACATCTGACATCGTCTGACCACTGTGCAAACGATACACTCGACACGTCACCAAGCTATCGACACATTGGCTCATCTGGTGGCCTCCTGCGAAACGGTGCACATCGGTGCACGTCATCCCACGTCATCCCACGTGAGCTGTGTTTTTTTGTTGTCTGGGCACTTATACTTTTGCTTTGCCTACGCCTACACCACTGTCTACGCAACGCCTGCGCGGCCACAGTGGGAGCCTACGCGGATCATGCCTTTGAAGGTGTGCCTACGCAGGGCCAACGCCTGTGTAAAACGATGCCGCAACGTACTTGTTTGCCTACGCCGTCACACTCCTGGCAGCTTTTGGAAGTCTGGAAACGGAACTTCTGCCTACGCAACCACAGTCCCATTCACAGTTTTGCTAAGTATCTAAGTGGGATGCCTTGCGGCACGCTGCAGTACCTGCAGCAGCACAAGCACCCAGGCTCCAAAGCCCCCATAGACATCTTGCAGCCACACCCAGCAGCCGCACCAGCACCCAGGTCCCAAAGCGCACACTAAACATTTGGCGGATAAATCACTGAAGACTCAGCTACTATTCTGGAGTCAGGCGTGTTCGACTGTCACTAGCTTGGCGAAGGCCCACGCAGCTTAAGGTCGAACCGCGCTTGCTGCCAGAAGCCGCTACTGCCTAACATCACCTTCTGAATCGTCAAGAAACAAGCTTAAAATGCAGCTGCAACGCACCCCTTCGCCACACCCAAACACCACCCAGCTGAAGGATGTAGCTGCTCTGCCGGGCAAATTCCACGGCTTGCTCGTATAGTCAACTAATTATCCATGAGATTCCATGAATGAACCCGGTGCCTTTGAACGTTTTGTGGATAACATTGAATCAATTTTAAAGCGTGAGATTGCAACGCCGATCATGTACGAGCACTTGAAATACAATAAAATTGTCGCCTACGCGAAAAGGAAACATTTGGAACCTTGAAAAATGCCTATGCCAACACTACGCAATCCTTACGCCAGCCATGCAAAACCACACCGAAAGCAACATCCAGTTTAAGCAGTGTATAAACCCCTTCATGTTAAAAAAACGTAGCTCACGTCATCCCACGTCATCCCAGGTCATCCGATACAGAAAATCATCGATTCATTATCCAAATTTTCCCCAGGATCCCAAGGCTGCGACGGAAGGCTACGCGGCGTGCTGTAAGATGAAAGGCCTGAGACGACGGCACAGGGTCTTTGAAGACACCGCTGCAACATGCAATGGTTCTTCCGGAAACTGAGATGACATGTGGTGGAGACATGTGGAACCCCCTAAGCCGCTTGCGAACAACCATTTGTGGCGGGCCTCCAGGTAAGCACCTTGGAAAAGGATGGAAAAGGCACTGCTCCTGCCCATAAATGTCACCCCATTGGCTGAAGCACGAGGCCTCCAGCAAAGCATGGCAACTCAACGAGGTTTAACAAGCAGCTAGTAATGACATAGCATGCCATGACTTCTGGGACCGCTTCACGCAAAAATGACTATCATTTATAGTCTACTGCATATATATATATATATATATACATATGCTATATATATATACATACATACATACATACATACGCATACATATACATTCTCTGTAATATGTATGCATATGTAATTTGCATATGGTATATAAATAAATGCATACATATACGTATATACGTATATAATTACATATGTATATATATCTATATATATATATATGTGTATATATCTATATATATATATGTGTGTGTATTATTGATAAGGACAATGCTTCCGCTGTGACAGTCTGAATCCGCCCATCCCACATTGTCCATGTGCAACCGAAACTAGCGGCATCCCGCGGCTATTTTTTCCAGAGCATTTGCAGGTTTCACAGCCTTCACAGCCTGGCCTGGCGTCCATGTCAAAGCACGTCAAAGCACTGGCAATTTCATTGTTCTTCTGGAGTTGGTCGAGTTGGACACGTCCAATGGAGTTTCCTTGAAGTTCTTGACCCTGGCGGAGAGCATGAAACGTTCCACCTGACGGCGCAGTGCCAAGACTTGGGAGTCGAAAGGTGGCAGGCAAGGAACTCATGGATGATAACTCATTTTGCCCCAAATCTGGTGGAGACATGAATTTGAGCAGGGACACGGTGGACATGGACAGGAAAGCTGCATGATTTGTTTTCTGACTGATGCTTGCTTGTGTGTGTTACTGTGCGCGGGGGAGATCAGGCAAGCAGCAAGCATCCATGGAATCCATGTTCATGAAATGGGCAGATCAAGACACATGCAAAAACATCAGGCCACTGACGACAGTGCAACCAATTCTGTTAGAACCTGTCCATGCAAACAAGCCATTATCTCATTCCACAGGCCAACAAGGCAGCTCCTCTCCTCAACCCAGCTTTAGATGACTGAGTTTCATCTGTTGCTCATCCAAATTGGATTGTTGGATCGTTGGGGTGGAATAGTTAACGCAGAATCATTCTGCGACTTGGAAAATCTGTGGTGGGGCAGCAAGATGAAGCAACAGATCCATATATAGGTCCCACAAATCCAACCACGCCTCTTTCCAAAAGGTGTCTCTCACTTGAGCAGAGCGGTGCTGCAAATTTTTCGGAGGCAAGTCCAAGACGCTGACCTGCGCAGTCATGACCAACTTAATTAATTATAGTCGATCATGGGGTGGTTCAGAAGATAAATCACCATCAAGCGACCAAGCGCGGTTCCTTTTTTGCTGAGGAATTTTGATTCGTGTTTTGAACCAGGGACATTGATATCAACAACGGGATTCTGAATGTTGCAGTGTCCCTCGCGACCACTGGCCTGCCATTTGTGCACATGGTCCGGCATCTCAACAAACCTGTCCTTCTCGCGGAAGTAGAAGCCCTGAGCACATGGCGATAGACAGATGACCCAGGTATCGCACGAAAGCAGGCATCGAATCTACGTGTAGATACGTGTAGTCAATATATATATATATACGAACCATAGCACAACATCGCACTAACTACAATGTACAACAACAAACATTGGTGAGATCCCCGGCAGATCTTGCAGCCTTGCTGACCGCATATGCACATCCATGTTCTGCCCGGCCTTGATGGTGCACAGGAGGTCAACCACTGAGCCAAACGGCCAGCCTGGGCAGTCCACTGGCTGGAGAGCCAGTGAGCTCCAATGCTGATGCCAAGGAATGCCAGGGACGGCTCTCAGCTGAAAAGCACACTGAGCATCGTGAATCATTGAAACACCGACTACATATACAAACGTATTAACTTATATTGCGTTATATTTTATGGTACTATTGTCTATATAGATACAATATTATGATATATATATATATAATATTATGTTATATAAATACATATACATATATATATATAATATTATGTTATATATATATATAATATTATGTTATATATATATATAATAATGTTATATTATATTGTATTGTATTGTATTGTGTTATACTGTATGTTATTAAATTATTGATATCATATTATTGTATTATATTGCCTTACATTGTCTAATACTGTACAATATTGTATTATATTTGTATTGTATTGTACTATGTCGTATTATATTGTACAATACTGTATGTTATTATAACATGTCATATTTCATATTGTACTATATTGTGTCAAACTAAATCATACTATATTGTATTGAAGTGTTGTATTATATTGCATTGCTGCATATATTATGAAAATATAGTACCGTAAAACTAAATATAATATAGTATCGTGATGTATAGTGTTAAGTGGGGCCTTTGGGTGTAACAACCAAGAATCACTCCCCAACCCCACGATCATTAAAAGGTGCACTGTTTTACAAGTGTGCGACTTGAGCCATACATATGGTCGGAAAGCTACTGTGTTAACCCTGGACCTGGTGGAAAAAGGGAATAACACTTCCTACCTATATACAGCTACAACCCTTCTAGCTAACGCTTCTAGCTAGGGGATATTGGAGTGTTTGGATGAGTGTACAATAGAATCGTAGTGTTGGAATCATAGCTACAACTACTGCCTGAGCAGTGAAGACATATATATATATACATATTTACACACACTATACATGTGGGGGCAATTTGGTCGTGACATTTCTACTAGCATATCACATTATATTACAGTACTTATATAATACTATATTATTTTATACGATATTCTTCTTCTTCTTGCGTGCCATAGGTATGGTTTGTGAAAAACGGATGTGAAACTAACTTAGAAAGGCAGGTGCCATACCCGTAGGCTCCCCGCAGCATCGTTGCCCCTCAGTACAGGAACTCCTTGAAGTAGAACTATAGATTAGTTCGACTTAGTTACGATGTCCAGGATACAGCCTGGTAGGAAATGTTGCTAGATTTCTTTGTTGATAGCTGCTTGCAGTATTTGAGCAAGTTGTGCGTTGGAGTTGTTGAAATCACTTTAGTCATCACGAATTTTAAGCCATATCATAGTCAAGGTGTTTTGCGTCCATTGTTTCCTGGGTCTGCCGACCCGTCGAAACAGTACCCCAACAGGTGCGGCGGTATCTTTTTTGAAACTGACCATTCTCATAGGGCTGTCATTGTCTTGTCTCAAAACTTTCGCTGCAAGTGCGATGCGACGATGGGCCAAAATGTCTGAATTGGTTCAATTTTGGTTCCATGATGGTTCGCTGCAATGTGTAAGTTTGCTCTTCTGAAAACCTCCTCATTTGTGTTTGCACGATTGATGTAGGTCGTAAGAATCTTTCGCAAACCTTTCAACTGAAAAGATTCTAATCGTGAAAGGAGAGCCACTGGAATCTCAATTGTTTCCAAGGCATAGAGAAGTTTTGATTGAATGACTGCATTATAAATTAGAATTTTGTTTCTGGTACTGCATTGGGCTTCTTTCCAAAAAATATCCAAACTCTTCTAAGCCGCCATAGCTGATGCAATTCTATTGGGCACTTCTGACGCAATGTTAACATGTTTGGTCAAAATTCCGCCCAAGTAAACGGCTTCTTCTACGTGCTTCATGCGAGATCCATCTTTAAAACGAATACAGTTGTGACCGTTCATTGCCAAAACGTGACATTTGTCGTGGTTGAGTTTTAGTCCGTAGGAAGCAGATTCGTCTTCTATGGCATGAAGCAACAAGTTCATGCCAAATGTGTTTCGGGAAATCAGGAGCGTGTCATCTGCGTACAGAACTTCATTAAAACTGATTTGGTCAAGCCTACATTCTGAAAGGTCCCTGTAGTGTTCTACGCCAATGTCGTGAAACAGAACAGTCATGACGAGTATAAACAGAAATGGGGAGAGTGGGCATCCCTGACGTATGCCGGCATCTTGAGATTTAGCATGCGATAGAAAGTTTTCATGTTTCACTTGGAAGGAAAGGTCCGTGTAAAAACTTGCAATAAGATTTCTGAATTTTCTTGGTAAGTTCAACCTCTCCAAAGCGTGCATCATCCGGGGGTGTGAGATCCGGTCGAAGGCTTGCTTCCAGTCTAACATACATATCACGATGTTGTCCCCAGATCGTTCTCCCAAATCTTGTAACCGTCTGGCTATGAATAACGCGTCCGTTTATACGATTTATAGTATTATATTATATTGTATTGTTCGGTATATATATATACACATATGTGTGTGTGTGCGTGTGTGTTCAGTCTATCTTTAAAGACATCCCAAACTGGTGGCAACATGCCATTTCCATTTTGCTGGAGCCACTACACTCGACCCCGTCAAGAATATTTTAAAATGATAAAAGATCCAATGTGACATGGTCAGACATGGTCAGTTTTGCGCCAAGCAAAGGCAAGCTGCCGTGGAATTCCCATTCCTCACCGTTGGTGACGACAGCCACAACTCTAAGCCAGTCCTGGTCACCTTGGATCAGAACGACCGGTTACACTGACCCAATCCCAACCTCCATCCAGCGTATATATGTGATCTTATGTGGTGGTACTGGAAAGTCGCATCGCGAAACAAGAGCTGACCATGGTCCATCATTAAAATCCGCATTTCGGATGCAAAACCAAGGCTATTGCCAAGCGCATGGGAAAAGCCACGTTTAGTGCACGAAGTGAAACATGTAAAAAGAATGCGCGAGTCAACTGGTGTCATTTTATGTACATCTAATGTTATACTATGTATATGAATCATAAACACACCCGTTTTTTACAAAACATGCAGCAGCACTAATTCACATGATCATGATGATGATGATGATGATGATGATGATGATGATCATGAAGAAAAGTTCCCAACATAAAGAGGTACACAAAACATCCGGA